TGAGACAGACACCTGGCATGAAAAATTTCAGGTGAAATGGTTAAAATTTTAACCATGATCAGCAACTGAAAATGGGGTCTTACAAGAGAAAGTGTTAGGCAACCTTAATAATAAGCAGCACTACCAGCCTATAACAATAGTGCGTCATGAAACTTGCTTTTCATTGAACACTGATGCACAAATCTTAATGTCTGAGACTTGTGACTGGATTAAATAAAATCTTTTTTTTTAAATTGAAAAGTGCAGGCAGGGTTTGTTCAGCAAAATCTATTCCTGTTTACACCTTGAAATATCTGAGTAGTAAATTAAGCTTTCTCTTTGAGCAATCTTCCTTTCTTTTTATCTATGCATTTATAATGTGCCCTTTGCTATAGTGTCTATTTGAATGGTAAGTCAGACCAGCATTAAAAAACAAGTAATTTAGTGCTGGGGAAGTGCCAAACTGACAGCCCTGGAGCCTGAAGCTCCCTGTTTGTCCCCAGAACAGGTACAGAGTGGACTGTGCCTCTGCTGAGCCTGCCAAACCAACAAGCTTGTAAATTAGTGCCAACTGTTGAGACTGCTTTTCTAACATGGCCATCTGTTCACTGATCTGAAACTAACCTAGGTAACCAGTCATCAGATGGAGAACAGGTTGGTGTTTTTTTTTCCTGCCTGCAAGACTTTTTTTGCATATGAATTGTAATTTGGAATATGTTACAATTTTATATTCTTTATTGTATATTTTTCCGTTGTGATGTGTTGCACATTTTCATTTGCCAACCTAAATACACAACTATCTATATTTTGAAACGTCCTAGATATTTTATGAAACTCCCTAACATTCTGTGGCTCTTCCATCCAATTTTTTCCCTAAATTCCTCTTTTGGATACTTCCTTATTATCCAAGAGGAAATTTTGGCCCATACTTGGTAAAGCACCCTAGGATTCTTTGAGATGAGGCTTTCTTGTAAAGTAGTATTCTTACAGGAGGTTGAGGAATGTGTTTTGTTCCCATGGGGGGAAAAAATGACTGTTTTCTTCAAAAAATTTGGGGGTTTTGTTGAAAAACTGAAAAATTTTGGCCCAACATTTTTGATTAGTTCTTGTTTGCAATTTTTCAGTTTTCAAGTTTTTGACATTAATGGAACCCTTTCCCCCCTGCCCTCAAAAAGCCGAAAATGGGTATTTTCCTACAGGAATTGCCCATTTGATGGAAAATCATTTTTTTTTTTTGTTAAAAACCAACCTTTTAGATGAAGAATTTTGACTAATTATAATGTCAATTTTCCTTTGCATTTTCTTGTGGTGATTGTGTTCTGTACCTTGATGGAAAACTTTTCTCCCACTCTGGGCAGCCCTACAATAAAGCAAAAGAAACAAACCAAAGAGAGAAATGAATGGCCACAGTCATTAATCTCTGCCCAGGACTTCCACTCTTCAAGTTTTTTTGGTTCACTACAAGAACACTTTACCCTACTCCCTCTCTCACCACAGCGATCAGTGTCACTGGTGGTAATGTCCATCAAAGGAACACCTCCTGAAGAGCAGCATAATGTTAGCACTGACTGCCAACCTGAGAAAAATAGTCATGCTATTGAAGACCACTAATAACAGCCTGTTCCTTCTTCCTCCACTACTCAAGCTGTTAAGACCAAGAAGAGCTGCTGGAGAGATCACAAGAGCAAAAGAATTTTTTGAATGTGTATGCTTGATAGTGGCAGGAGTCCCTGATGGCATTCCACTGTCACTGAATGGATGCACAGAATATATCCCAGACCCAGATTCTAAGGAGGAGATACGTTGTTGAGCTCTCTAAGGAGGGGGAAAATGCAGTCACACATACACTCCCCCCCCCCCATATGGTGGTAAATTTCCAATTCTATCTTAATGACTGTGAGAAACTAGTGGGAAACAAATGTTCTTTTATTAAAGAGGCTCCAGTACTGCTAGCTACATTTACAAGACCAGGATAAGCTATCCAGGAGATAACTGATTACAAGGACCCACAAGCCTAAATTATAATCTGACAAACACACCAAGATCTATGTTGAGACAATGGGAGAAAGCTGGACAATGGGACAGTAGAAAGAGGAGGAAAGGACATGAGGGAAGAAGTGACAGGTAAGGCAGAGGGGATACTTAAACAAAAAACCAGTAGTCCCCACACCAGCACTTGCCTTTATCTTTAATGCTGATACAGAAGTGCAGAGTTCTGAAAACTCTGTTTGTACTGTTTGTACCCGGTTTGTACTGTTCGAGGGCCAACTTTCAGATGAGCCATTGAATCAAGATCCTGTTTTTGTTGTTTGTTTTTTTCCCTGGCTCTGCTGCCTGTCCAGGAAGAAGCGAGAAATCTTATGACATCTTTTAAAAGAGAAGGAAATGATCCCAGTATCTTGGTTAACATTCCTTCTGTCAGTAAAATAGATTCTACTCTATGGATGGTGTTGATGAATGCAAATGCCGAGTATGTCCAGGTTGTAGTCTCTTTATTACATAGACCAGATCCTTAGCTGGTGTAAACCAACATAGCTTCATAGTCAATGGAGCTATGCTGATTTATACCAGCTGAGAATCTGGCCCAAAAGTGATCTGTGACACTTTGGGGATATTTTGAGTTTGAAAGGTGCTATATGAGACTCACTGTTAGTCTAGAGTATCTTTTGAAAATAAAATACAAACCAGAACCACTAACAGCTAAAACAATTTTATGGACTCATTTTTAGGCCGGGCACTATAAAGAACCCTATGGGTTGCATAACCTTATTGTGCAGATTTATTCTTTCATCAAGTCTTCTCCTTTAACAGAGACTCATTCACTGGGCTCGTGTTTTATGATTTATACTTTGTTTGAGGGCAGAAAGTGCATTAAATCACCCAAGCACCTTTGAAAGGATAAGGATCTTAAAGTATTTACCTCTTGGTGCTTAAAAAGTTATTTCTTTACAATTTATTGTCCTTAAAGTTAATATGGGTTGTCCTTCAATGAACAGTGAGTAAGATAAACGTACAGTGGGCATAGTTAAAAAGTTTTACTCACTGGGGGCAAGGTATCAGAAGATCTTACAGGTATGAGCAAGTATTCCCTATACTGATAATGAGGAACATCTCTAGAACTGGTAATAGCTTACCTACTGGTAAAAAGGGAACAGAAAACTTCTAAAATGTGTGCCCAGGTGGACCCAGTGCGTCCATCTTGGATGATCATCTCTGTCTGCATTGTGTGTAACCTAGGAAGTGCCTTACAACATTTGACCATTGTTCTAGTAGTCTCAGGAGCCTGTCTCCCAGAGTTGGCCAGTGCCTAATGCTTCAGAGGGGAATCCTTCCACCAAAATACATCCTCCTGTTTCCTGATGCAGAAGATTTGATGAGCTTTGTGCCTTCTAAGGCCAGGTCTACACTAACCCCCTAATTCGAACTAAGGTACGGAACTTCAGCTACGTGAATAACGAACCTGGAGTTCTCTTGTGCCTTATTCGGGCTCCCTGTCTACGACCCACAGCACGCCTCATGTAGTG